CTGCGGTTGATCCCGAAGTCTTGATTACACAGAACCTTGTGGGGTCTTGCACTAGGCTCTAAGGGGAAAACTAGCTTGGCATTGCATATGCTCTGGTGCAGCTGTAATAGCTCATTGATTGCTTGCAATCTGTACAGTCAACTTCATTTCGGTGTGCCTGATTCACTAATCGAAGGAAAGGCACCACGAATTGGTACAACTAGTGCCCATCTTGTCTCCCTAATTGCATCCGTGCTCTTGATAGAGCAATCACTTGCTAACCTCGTCCGACACGAATCGATTGCTTCATTTTAGCAATTGTCATCACTATCGTCGTAATGGCTTCGCCAGAACAATCTAACCAGGACTCTACTCTGTTCTCAGATCGCCGACGAGGAGCAATGAAGCGTAAGCGCGAGACACCAGCATCCAGGGCGGCTGCAAACAAATCCAATCACCGTACTCCAAACGCCTTCTCCCGACGGACACCTCCCCGTTCAGATCAGTCACCAAGGCGTTCGGAAGAAGGAGAGCGCTCAAGGTCGCGATCGCGATCACGATCTCCACCTAGAAAACTCAAGAGACCAGGTGCCGGTGCTCGAATCAGCAGAGAGCAGCGCGATGCTGCCGAAAGAGCCAGGCATGAACGGCTCGAAAAGGAAAAGGCCGACATTGCTGGCAGAGCGGTTGCTGGCAGTGGAGTCGAATTTGTGGCCAGTCACTACAATGCGGTGCCGGAGAGAGGAAGGGAATGGAGGAAGACAGACTCCCAGATCAAAGGCCTACGAAGTTTGAATAATTGGATCAAATCCACGCTCATTCAGAAATTCAGCCGACCTGAAATACCTGTCCAACATTTAACGGTTCTGGACATGGCATGTGGTAAAGGAGGTGACTTGGGAAAGTGGGAGAAGGCACCGCAGATACCGAGCCTCTACGTGGGATGCGATATTGCAGACGTCTCTATCGACCAAGCCAAAGATCGATATGTAGAGTCTCAGCGAAAAAAAGGACGCTTCCGTCGCCCAGGTCCACAGATGGAAGCGCAATTCTACGTACACGATGCCTTCAAGGATTCGTTTGTCGATATACCAATCGTGAGACAGGTTGGATTCAATCCTATCATCAGACAAGCTGGAAAGGCTGACTTAGGAATGGGCTACGGCGGGTTTGATGTCGTGAGCATGATGTTTGCTTTACATTACTCTTTCGAGAGTGAGGAGCTAGTCAAGGGCATGTTGTCGAATGTCGCCGGTGCTTTGAAGAAAGGCGGACATTTCATCGGTGTCATGCCTAATGCCAACGTCATATCGGCAGAGCTCAAGAAACAGCTCTTTGGCAAAAGCAATAACAAAACGCCTGATGGGAAGGCAGCAAGCCCTGCAAGAACCCCACAGGAGAACGGTGCTGGAGCCGATGACGAGGATGATTGGGATCCTGAGAAGCCCTCTGAGCCTGCGGCGAATTCCGCAGTGCCAGAAACGCAAGATGGGAGTGATGACGAGTGGGATCCAGAGAAGCCTTCTGAGCCCGTAATGACGACAGTAGTCAACGAGCCCAATGGCGATGAGAATGATGACTGGGATCCTGAAAAGCCTTCGGAGCCAATTGCAGCCGTGTCAGAACAGCCAAATGCGCCGGCTGAGGCTGAGAAACAGCCTTCAGCTACGCCCATGACGGGTGAGCCGATCACCTGGGGCAACAGCATTTACAGCATCACATTTCCACGCCAGCAAGCTCTCACCTCCCGCCCGCTTCCTTCTGATGGTATATTCCGCCCGGCATTCGGATGGAAGTATATTTATCACCTCGTTGAAGCGGTCGATGCTCCCGAGTTCGTCGTACCGTTCGAGATTCTGCGTGCCATGGCCGTGGAATTTGGTCTTGAGTTGAGATACATGAAGCCGTTTAGAGACGTTCTCGAGATCGAAAGCGAGGACCGAGAGCTGGGCATGTTGGCCGAGAGGATGGGCGTTAAGAGCCGAGATCGAGCTGTTGGTAGAGGCACCGGGTTGTTGGTAAGCGAGGATGAGCTCGAGGCTGCAGACTTCTATTGTGCCTTCTGCTTCTACCGGACCTGAACTGTTCCAATGTTGCAAATCTGACTTCTACCGAAATTTATGTTTCACTCTAGAGGGATATTCTACACCATTGCTTGCATCACACAGGCTCATGAGTACGCAGGTGTGATCTGATGACACTGAGACCTTTAGATGAGAAGAGCCATCACTATACCGCAAATGTAAAATCTCAGATACGAGGGCAGACCATAGACGCGCCTCCTGGCATTCTCTTATAGCGAGCGATTGTTCCTCCAATCAGCAACCAAGTTCATACCTAAATATGGCGCATAAGGCAATTGACCCTTATAAGAACAAACTCTACATCACGCCACACGATCATTCGTACCTCATCACTCATAAACCACAACACCATATTCTCCCAGCATGCCTTATACTCAACGACCCGCTACGAACGCTCTCACTTGCAGCACACATGCAAACCCTCGACAAAACTCGTACCAAACATGTACCCGACATTTGCCCCACAAGTCCACATCATGCCACCTTAGGCTCCTCTGTTCCTTACCATCTCATTATACCTCATAAGATGGCTCAAGTTTGGCCCTCCCGTCAAAGTATCTGTAGTCGGCCTTCTTGATATCGACATCGTTGAACATTCTGACCTGAACACCGCAGCATTGGTAATCTGAAATCTACACCAAAGAGAGGGCTTTCATTTTGTGGTAATCTTACATTCATAGCCAACATCTCCCGCTCACTCTCAAAATTCGAGTTCTTGAAGTCAATGAGGATGCTGCTACTGCACTCGCCGCAGAAGCGGTGCGGTTTGTTTTTCTTGCCAAAGAAATAGTCCTTCAGCTTATCTTCGCCAGCGAGGAATTTGACGTCTGGACGGAGAGGGTAGACGAGGAGGTAGCCTGTTTGCAAAGATCATGACTGTGATCAGCCAGGAGTGATTCGAGAGTCGGGTAGATGCATTTGGGGAAGGAAAAGCAAGATTAGATGACAGGAGGCGCAGTACCATTCTTGAAACAGATAGAGCAATTGCAACTCAGAATTTTGCCACTACCCTCAGGTGCTAATGCTTCTGAGAGAGTGACTTGATATTTGACGCTGCCACAGTGGCAGTTGGCGTCGTATGTTTTAGGTGACATGGTGACAATTCTTGGGTTGTATGGTCAATTTACCAACTTTACCAATGCTACTCCACTCTGAGATGCAGCAGGAATAATCATTGCCAGATCTCTTTATAAAGGCAGGACGTCTCTGTTTGCTGTATAATCAATCTCCATTAAAAGGTCTGAATGTGGTTACACCTGGGGCTAACAAGGCTCCTACCTGGCGACATTGTTCTGGCGCATAACGGAATAGGGAAAGTCTCTAGTATGACCTCCGCCCTATCGCATTCCCGGAATATGAGCCGTGTGGGGAACAAGTGAATCGTTATACGACATGGCAAATTGCCTACATCCATTGGCTTCTCTAACTACCGAGGAGACGACATAATGCTCTTGATTAGGAAGTCACAGCCTCCTACACGTGCCACCTGACGGTGAGTTAGCAGCACTAGTCGGCTGACGCTCGGGTAACATACCAAAAGGATATGTTCCTTGCAACAAGCCAACCTCGGCATTATCTTAGACACGATTTAAGTTTGCTTTGTTCATATATCTATAACGACGACAAACATGGAAGGTGCTGGCGGCATACAGGTCGCCGTGCTATCAGCGTTGGGACCCCAAGTCAAGGAATCCATGTATCGGGGAACAGCAATGCCGATTAGTCATCATATTCCCCTCTTCTAGGCCTCCACCTGCTATGTTCATATTATAGTGAGACCGACATAGCAAAGATCGTACGTACATGTGTTCCTGTTCAAGTTCTCTGGTAGGAAATGTTGACAATTGCGTGTTTTGGGCTTGCTAACAATGCGAAAACAGCGAATTACATGTACTCTCAGTTGTGAGATTGAGCGACCATGACAACGCTACTGGATTCTGACGGTCAACCGCCAGCATCATAGAACTGTCAGCTAGTGTAATGCACCCTATTACTCTGCTTTCGCGACTAGTTCAGAGACATCAGCAGGGGGGGGAG